GGCCGGGGTGCTGGGTCCTGGGGCGGGGGGCGGGGGGGGGGGCATAGTTATGCGGGGTGGCATGTAGGAGGGGGTCCCGGGGGGAAGTGAGTCCCTGGGGTAAGGAGGAGCCTCCCACCCCCCCGGTGGTTCTCCTCCAATGAGGTGCCCACCCCGCATAGCTGGGAGAGGGGTCTCTGTTTGCCCCGCCCAACCATGCTACATGTGTGTGGCCCAGACGCCTGGGTCCTGTGTGTGTGTATGCGGGGCAGCTTAAAGGGACCCCGGTCTGTGGGCTCCCACCCTGCAGGCCAGGCAGAGAACCCAGCTGTCCGGGGCTGTCTTCCACATCTGGTTTCTCCTCTGTGGGTCCATCTTGGATGCCTGGGTTCTCTGTCAGTCTGGGATGCTGCGTTTTGGGTGGTCATGGTGGAGGTGGTCCCCTGGGTCCTTTGTTTGGGGGCGCATTGCATGTATCTGAGCTCGTGGGGGCAGGGTACTCACTGCGTCAGGCCGGGAGGCGGCGATGTCAGGCCCCAACGGGGAGGGGACACGGGGCCGGGTGGGCAGGCCAGGGGCGCCTTCGGGCAGGGGGCATGGGGGGGGCAGCTTGTAGACGTCTGTGCCATGGCCTGGCGGCCCCTCCGGCCCCTGTGAACAAGGGAGGGTGGTCAGGCCATGGCTGGATCCCCACACCCCTGCGGCAAAGCATGCTAGTCCTGTCAGACCCCCCCACCCGGACCACAAAGCATCCTGGCAGCTGGGAGGAGGGGCAGTTGGGCCAAGGCCGGACCCCCATCCCAAAGCATCCTGAGAGTGATGGGAGGCAAAGGCAGGCCCCCCCTGCCCCCCTTGGCCCAGTGCATGCTGGGAACTGCAGGGGCCTCACCTCATCATCCTCTGGCAGGGGGGGCAGGCCAGGCCCGGGGCCGGGGCTGGGGGAGCGCTCGGGGTCGCGGTCCCGCAGGCCAGGGCTGTTGCGCATCCAGGCACGGCAGACAGGGTAGAGCGGTGCCGCCTCGGGGAACTGCGCCAGGTCCACACTCCGATCGAACAGCTTGATCACATACGTGTCTGCAAGAGGGGGCAGGATGAGGCCCAAATCAGGGCCCTCCTACCTCCCTCCCAGACGGCCATGTGCCCCCCCCCCCACGGATCAGGCCTGGATCAGGGTCCTCCTCCCTGCCAGCCATATGCCCCCCACCCTTCCAGGATCAGGATCCTCTCCTGGACACCTGGGTTCTCTCCAGCCCTGAAGCATGGGGGTGAGAGTATTGGTGGTGGGGAGCCCACATCTGGGTTCTCTCCCCCCCGCCACTCACTCTGTCTCTGCTGGCCGCCTTCTGTCAACCCATCGTCTGTCTCCTTCCTCTTCTTGCGCCGGTGATGGGAGAACCGAGCCGAGGGCCTGGGGGTGAGAGAGGGGGATAAGACTAAGTTCTACCCCCCACCCCGACACCCCTGCGCCAAGCCCTGGGGGTGGTGTTGCCCCATAGACAACAGCTTGCCCCAGCCCGCTGTCTGCAGAGGGGTGCGATATGGGACAGAAATGTAGCCAGATGGCTTATCCAGCACCAAGATGCAGTCAGGTCTGGGGAAGAACAACTGGGGAATGGCTGCATATAACAGCACCAGAAGACTTCCTTGGGCCCAAGACGCAGCCAGCTCTGGAGAGGAACAGCTGCATCTAACACCATTATGAAAGGCTTTACAGGGCCCAAGATGAAGGCAGCTCTGGGGATGAGCAGCTGGGGAATGGTGGCATAAAACGCCCCCCACCAGCTCTCCTCAAGCTCCAGGATGCAGCCAGCTCTGGGGTGGAGCCGTGCAGACACCCACCTCTTCCCGGCAGCTGTGGGAGAGGAGTCTCTGGAAGGAGAAGACAGAGGGGGTGGTCAGGGGGATGGGACCATCCTGCCCCCCCCCGGACACCTTAACCCTGGCCCTCCCCCCATTCAGGCCTGGCCTTACTTGCCAAGTGGGTCGCTGGGCGGCTTCCCAGGATCCTCGTCCATCTGCTCCCTGTATAGAGCAGACAGGTGAAGCGAGGTGAGGTGCAGCGAGGCCCCCCCCAAGCCAGGATCCCTGCTGCCACCCCGCTGACCCCCAGGATCGGAGCCGCACCCACCGCTCGCCGTCGCTGCGCTCCAGCAGGCCCTGCAGCACTGCATCCAGGCGGCTCCGCGCATTTGCTGTCTCCAGGTCTGCGGGGGGGGCGACGACAGAGATGCAGCTGATGGGGGCAAGGTGCTGTACGCCCCCCCTTCAAACCTGCCCCAGGTGCCCGCTGCCTAGCAAACCCATAAGAAGCCCCACTCCCACCCCCAGGGACCCCAGGTGTCCAGGCTCCCCCCACCCCCCATGCGTTTTGGGACAGGAAGTATAAGACTGACCCCCCCCACAACAACTGGGTTTACAATTGAGTCCCGCATCCCACTTGTCACCTCCACATCGGGGCCAGGACCCCAACCTCCACCCCTACCCCCCGTGGGTGGGGCCAAGACCCTAAGCCCCTCCCCTATGCCCTGTAGGCGGGGCCAGGGCCTCTCCAGCCCCTCCCCAAGCCCCTGTGGGCAGTGCTAGGACCACCTCAAGCACCGCCCCTCCCCCCGAGGGCGGGGCCAGGAGCCCTCTAGCCCCTCCCTTACCCCTAGGTAGGCAGGGCTAAGACCGCAGGCTCCTCCCCTCCCCTGTGGGCGGGACCAACCCCCAAACTCCTAGCAGGTGGGACCAGGCCCGTGGCCCCTCCTCCCATAGGCGGGGCCAGACCCCTAAGTCCCTCCCCTACCCCCGAGGCCTTAAAGGGCCCAGCACCCACCGGGCTTCTCCACTTTGACTTTGACCGGCAGCATCCTGAAGGGCAGGGGGCCGGGAGCCCGTGCGCCCGGGATCGGCGCGAGGGGGATCTGGGGGGTCGGGAGCCCCGGACGCCCGGGTTCTCCGCGTCCTTGTGGGCCCCGCCCCTCGTTCCGGTCTCCCTTTGGTCCCGGAGCTGTCAATCATCACCGTCGCCCAATCTGGGCTCGCGCTGGGAAAGGGCGGGCTCCTCCTACGGCGGCCATATTGAATTCGAGGTCTCTGCGCGATGCACTATGGGAGCCGTAGGCTTAGCACGGAGGGCTCATAGGAAATAGTGTCCGAAGCGGCGCTCAGTCCGGGAGTCGTAGTCCTAGACCCCTAAGTCTCATGGGAAATGTAGTCCTCGGCTGCTCTGCCCCGCCTGCGGCGGCCATTTTGAATATTATAGGGTCCGCGGGGCAGCATGGGAGCTTGCGCGCGGAGCTTCACGGGCATCTCGGCCGCCATTTTGAACGCCCGCGCGAGGCGCCATGGGAGAGGTAGTCCCGGCCCCCCGGAAGCGTCGTCGGCCCATGCCCGGCGGCCATTTTGTGCGGAGGCCGCGGGGTATTGTGGGCGGGCGCGGTCTTCCCGTGATGCTTGGGGTCCTCCCGTTGCTAGGAGACGGGCTGGGCGGCAGGTTCGGTTTGCGGCGCGGCCCGGACGCCGGGACCGGGGAGGCGCTTACCCCGCGCCGGAGCCGGCCCCATGGAGCGCAGGTGGGGCCGGGCCGGGCCGGGACACCCGCGCTGTGTTCAGCTCGGGGGCAGCCCCCCGCCAACCGACCCC